AATACTTCTGGCTTTGCTGGCTATCAGAATGACTGGTTTCAGTATGAGTTTGCTCAACTAGTTTCAGCCTCTTGTCTTGAACTTTTTTCAAGTTAGAGAAGCTCTCACTATGATTCTAAGGTATCACCTTAGAATGTAACTGATGTTTTGCATTTTCATTGCATTTGCCCTACACTGAACTATGCAAATAGAAAACTTGCAAGCTTTTGATTCAGTATATTTTTTTGTGTACTTGCTCATAAAACACTTGAAACTCTGGACAGATGTCTTTGCCAATCAATTTGTGTAGAGCTGATACAGAGTTGGTATCTTTATGTCTGAGTCAGGGGTGTCAAACTCAAGGCCCATGGGCCAGACCCAGTCTGTGAGGTGCTTAGATCTGGCCAACAGAGCCTGGAAACAGTAAAGGAGAAACCCGCGGTGCCTCTGCCAATGTAAATGGAGTTTGGGAGGGCCACAGGTGGTCCTCTCAAGCTCCATTTTCGCTGGCAGACGGTTGCAGGAGGCCATTGCATCCAAAAACGGAGCTCGGGAGCCCATTTTTGCTGGCAGAGTGCTTGGGCTACCACAGGTACCCCCGACACAAGTGACGTCGAGCTGGCCATACCCACCCTGGCTCCCCAAGGTCAAATCACAAACTTGATGCAGTCCTCAATGAAATTGAGCTTGACACCCCTGGTCTGAGTCAGGGGTGGGGAGAATGATGTCAGAAATGGTTTATTTAAGGCCCATTAGGTGCAATTAGAGCCATTAAATAAGTTTAGCACGGTGTTAATCAAGTTTATCATACAGAAGAGAGGGAAAATTGCTCAGGTTTGTTTTAGAAGACAGGACAAGAATCAATGACAAAATAGATTTTGGTTGCCCACTTGGAAAAAATTCTTAAGAACCATTCAACATTCTTACATTTTCATTTAACATGTAGACACATGTTTGCCTTGAGAGATAATGGACTCCTCTTCTTTGAGTGCTCACTTCTGGAACCTGACTGGCTATCTGTCAGGGATGTTGTAGTAAAATCATACAATGGATAGAAAGTTGGAAAAGATAATCTCCAAAGTCCTTTTAAACACTTAGATTCTATTAGTTCTATATTTTCTTGTAGTCTACCAAACTTACAAAACCTGATCTAATTACAAGGGGAAATATGACATTTTCAATCTGTTCTCCAACTTTCTTTCCCTTTCTTCTTTATTTCAGCAAAGTACACAATGCCTCCCAGGCACTCCTAATAAGAGAAATGCCAAAACATGAAATGGATACAGAGCTGGGTGAAAACCCAATGAACATCTATCAGTGGTTTCACATCAAGCTGGAAGGAATTGAAATTCTTTCCTCAGATATAAAGCCAGGCTTGTCTCTTGAAAACCCAGGCCTCTAATGCTTAAACTGCTTAATCCCCACATTAAATACAGACTCCTAGCCTTGAGAAAATACAGAATCTTATTTTTATCATCATTCAGAACCCAGAAAGCTGAGGAATAGTGGTGACAGCTTCCCACTAGTTGGTCTTTCAGGACTTAGATAATCTGCATTAGGACTTATTTCTCCTATGTATTTCCTGTTGGAAAATAGTTGTAATACAAATAATAGTACCTCACGGGTGGTTTGTTTTTTTTTAATTGATGGTGACGTTTCTGAAATAGTAAGGGAGCCTGGTTGGTTAACTTTATTCAAGTTGTATGGCTACCAATATCAATATGTGGTTTTGGGCAGCAAACAATCAAAGAAAATTAATTAATGCATAATTTAAAATACATAGCTGAGGAAAGTGTTACAATCCATGGTTGCTATCACAACCAGGAGATGGCTTGGGCTCCCAGCCCTTTAGGATCGCCCCCCCACCAGGCCTTTAGGGCCTTATAAAACCTTAGCATGTCAGGGTCATCCTAATCTCTAGGGGAGGGAGGATATTCTAAGGGGTGGGTGCCTTGGCAGGAAAGGCACTTCTTTTTACTTATTATTTATTTCATAATTACGTTATTAAATTCAAAGCTGAATATTATTTTGAAATGCTTTCTTGATATTGTAAACAATATAAGTTTTAAAAGTACAGATAGCTCTCACTTACCAACCACAATTGGGACTGGCAACTTCATTGCTAAACAATGCAGTCATAAAGTGATCGTGTAACCACACTGACTTACAATATCAATTTTGGCTGCAGTCATTAAGCAAGTCACCCATGATTGTTAAATGGAATACCATGTGAGTGTGACTGTGACTGCAACTTCCTGCAGGTTCCCCATTGACTTTACTGCACTTGTCGGAAACTGGCTGTGAAGTTGCAAATGTGATCACAGCCCCAGGATACTGTGTCATAAATGCACACTGGTTGCCAAGTATCCAAATTGTGACTGTGGATATGGTACAATAGATTTGTTGCAAATTCAACAACTGGTTATAAATCTCTTTCTTAGTGCTGTTGTGACTTCAAATAGTCATGGAACAAGTGATCAGCAAATCAAGAAACTGAATACTACCTATGATGAAAAATGTGAAATATTAATATTACAAATGAAATTATTATGTCTACCTTAGTCAGATTTCTAAACAAGCGCAGGCAAGAGACATCTGCAGATACAGCCCCATAATATAGGTCCAGCTAGAAACTATTAGTGGTTTTGCAACAGAAGATAGCTTTCCAACTACAGAAGAGTCTTCAGAATCAGTCTCCTATAGCTGACTTTTTTATATTAGAAACTTCTATATATTAAGGCATTTTGTGTCTACAGCAATCCCCCCCCCATACCCAATAGACAACTGCCACTTAAAGTAGGAGCACTGAAAATTATGGGTGAACTCAGAGTGATAGTAGCAATAACCATTAAAGGCAGAAAGAAAGAGTTGTCTGAAATAAAGTGCAGTGAAGCAGGACAGGATTTCCTCTGTAAAAAGGAAACATTTCTTAACTGTCAGCAACATTTAGGAAATTTGCTTCACTGCAATTCTCCTATCACCTTTGATCTAACTTCATGGTTCTTGTTATTACTAAGCATTCTTATGTTTCAATTAACATATAGACACAGCATTGTCTCAAAATAAATCAATTTTCACCATGGAAGTGATATATATATACATGATTATAAAATTACTTTGTGATTATAAAATATGCATGCTTTCCAGTACTTTTTTTTTTACCCTTTTCAAGTTGAAAGGATGTTTTCCATATTCAATTGCAAAAGAAAGTGAAAAAGCAGCTACAAATTTAGTTATTTAGACATTAAATCAAACAGATTTTTCTTGTTGAAAAAGCAGACATTGATATCTCCGTGTTTTTGACAATCATTTGCAAAGTATATCAGGCAGTAGTAAATGTAACCTTCCATATGCCCAGTTCTATGAAGATATCCTTAAGGAAATAAATCCTTATCAACCAATTCCTTTCACAATTAAACACATTTCTTGAAACAGGTAACAAGTAAGTTTCAAATTCTTTAAAACTCTTTTACAATCAGGACAACTAGCCATAACCTTAAATTATTTTATTCTTTCTGTCCTCAAATTACGGTAGGCAATTTCGAAGGAGGGCAAAGTTAAATTCAAACTAGACGCATGCAAATACATGGGGTCAGTAGTCAATGCTGGACCTTATCTAGCTCAAGTTAACTACTAAACTACTTGATTTTGGCTGCTCAAGAACAAGTTATTCAGACTAGGACTGAAAAATCATCCAATGATTCAAAGTGCAGATTGTGCAAAGAAGCAGAAGAAACAGCAAATCATATACTCACCTTGTACAAGAAAATTGCACAAACTGATTATAAATAATGACATAACAAGAGTTGCCAAAATGATTCACTGGGACATCTGTAACAATTATTACATAACAATAATGAACAATTGGTAGGAACATATACGTACTTAAAAAGTGCAGGTTAAAATCCCACAATGATTTCCAAATACAGACAGATAAATTCTTGGTCTTAACACACAAGATAACTGTAGTTGGGGAAAAAAAGAAGATATGGATAAATGTGGCAATACCAAGGGAATATGAAAATACAAGGCAAAAAATTGGAGAAGTTTACACTTATCAAGATATGAAAAGCAAAATGGAAAGATGATGGCATAAACTTGCCATAGTGACCCCGTGGTTATCAGCACACCAGCTGCCATTCCAAAAACTCTTAGAAAAACTGTACATTGACAAATTTTTCATCTGTCAGTTAATACCTTTTGACATGCAAGGATCTTTGGAAGAAGGCAATGTGCATGAAGGCCAACACCAACTAAAGAACCGGCAGCTGTGATTTCACATCTTTTTGTGTATAATAATTTGTGAATCTTGTATGCTCCCCCCCCCCCAAGTCTCAATGATTCTGAGCAGTTTATGACAAACAAACAAAATAATTAAAATAAAATGTAAAGTCAACATTCTGGCAGATTAGGGATTTTCCTCCTCCCTCTACCAGAAACTGTTCTCTTCTCCTTCCTCTCAAAGTAAACATTTTCTAGCTCATTCCTGACATCTCTGGTTAAAGTGTGGAGTTCCAAATAAGTGAATCCTAATATTGTGATGGTAGCACCCTATGCAAATTAAGTCATGGACAAATCTTCAAAAGATGGTGTATAAAATAGAATAGCTTCCCCAAAATATTAGCTGTTCAGTTTAAATTAAGACTCAATCACCTCATCAGATAACAAGCGTGTTCTCACAATATTAAAAAACTCAACTTTGGAAATAGAAAAAAATGAACAAAATTTCATAGGAGTTGACATAACAATAATGAATAGTCTTGCAAAACCTGGCTATCTCTTTAAGGTTTAAAAAAGATATAGAATAGTGGGTGCCATCTAGTGGTGACACAGACCCTGGTGCTGTGGACACCAATTTGCCAACTTCCACCATCTAGATGACTACACAACAAACAAAAACACTCTGTTACTAAATACACAACAGCATTTATTTTACCTCCAAATTATTCTTTTTCCAGAGAGTTACAATTCTTTTACCATCTTCAATCAAAATGTATTTCAAACCAGAATAAAGGTAACATTTTATAGAACCTGGGAATGGACATTACAATATAACCTAATTACAATTCACGCCTCATTTTAGGTATCCTCAAGTACCATGATTGTTCTCTAACTAATTTGATCTCTTTTGATGGGTGACGTGGGTAGTCTGCTTTATCGGGTTATTTAAGCAGTTCTTCCTCCTCCTCCTCCTCCTCAGTATTGACTCCATTTTTTAAGATTATTGAGATAAAACTTAAGTCTATTTTTCCTCAAATATGGCCTGTGGACCAAGTTCTCTGCTGCAATTTCTTCACAATTACACATCAAGGCTGCTTCAAGTCCCACCTCCCTTTATGTATCAATATTGTATTGATTTGCAAAAATGCAGTTCATTGAAACACACAAGTAAAACTACAAGTAAGCAACATTTACTTATATACATATCAAACTTCTTAACCACCCATCTCCCCCATAAAGGGGCTCTGGGTGATGTACAATTTAAACATTGTATAATAAAACATTAAAAACCATCTAATTTAAGATAAAAACAATTAAAAATGTAAAACATTATAAAATTACAAAAGATGGAGAGACTAAAAGATGTTAATATAGGCAGGAGGGTTCTCATAGGGCCAACCAGCCCCATGGCTGTGTGGGACTGTGTCCCCTATGCAAGACTACACAACCAGATTTTAACCCTTTGTGAAAGGCCAAGAGATTAAGGGCTTCCCTCACCTCTGAAGACAAGATGTTCCACAAAGTAGAGGCAGCAACAACACAGGCCCTCTTCCTTGATCCCATCTGTAGCATGCCTTCCCTGCCTGAATGAGTGGGACAGACTGATGTGGTGAGACAAAACAGGTTTTATAGATAGCTAGGCCCTATGCCATATATGAATAATAAATTGTATAGTAAAACATTCTTGTGTATATTTGTTGTACTGGACGATCAATCCTACCCAATTGGACCCTATTGGTTTCAATTGAATGGATAAACATATTCAGGGTGAAAGCATAAACTCAGCCTTTTAAAACTATAGCTTTTTGAAACATCAATTCATACAAGCAGGAAAAGTATCGCTGCACTATAGAAACAAATTTATTACAGCATACATTTTTGTGCAAAATAAAATAGGTTCTAGTCTACACAACAGTTACCATATTTAATTGCCTTTAAATTTCAACCGCTCTTTTGTGTTCTACACACACACACGCACATACACACACACACCTCTTTAGAAGTGTTAAAAATGGAACTCTTCATTTCTTTACTTTTTTTTTGTTTGCAAGGAATGTTGATGAACTTTTGTTTGCTGATTGACAGAGGAAGCCGCTTTCAGAGAAGTCTTCTTAGCTTTTTCTACCGCTCCTGGTTTCCATAGCAACAACTCTGCATCCTCTCCTCCTGTAAATAGAGAATCATCAACCATATTCCAGCAGAAGGAACGAACGGTAGCAGAGTGTCCTCCCTGAAGTATTCCCACAGAATTCAGTCCTTGAGCACAACACTCTACGAGACAAATGCTTCCTGTTGACATCCCTCCAAATGCAAACAACTTGTCCACTTGTTCATGATAAACACCCCCAATTAAGTAATCCAGTTTGATATTTTCTACTTCTCTGACGTCTGGAATATGTAATAATGTAGTTGACTTTTCAGAATCCAGCTCAGCAAGATCCCAATAACAAAACCCTTCATCATGTGTCATGCAGTAAACCTGCCAATAATCTTTTCCAGCCCATCCAATAAAACTTACGGAAGAATCAGAGTTACAAGTGGAAACCAGAGCATTTTCTTCCTTGTCTTTGTTAATATCAAACACATTTACCAATCCATCAGTTGAGCCTGAAGCAAGCAAATGTGGTTTGTTGGGATGAAAACATACTTTCGTAACATCATCGTTATGAGACTCTGAATAGACACCTAGTGGCTTTTTGCTAGAAGAGGCACTGTTTGGGCAGCCTCTCGCATCCCAGAATATTATGAATGCATCTTCTTTCACTTTTTCTGTGCCAGCACATACTACAAGGTCATTGCAGCTTATATCACAGCTAATGAAAACATTGGAAGGAGAGCCAGAAAACAACTGTGCAGGCTTCACGGCAGATGAACGAATATCCCAACACTTCAATGATCCATCACTGCCAGCTGAAAATAATATATTTTCATTTGTATGTGCAAATCTGACATCACTTAGCAATGCAGGAGGGCTACTATATTCTTGTAGCAAGCACAATGTCTCCCTGTTGTAAACTCTGATTGATGTATTGGAGCAGGAAACAGCCACTAAATTGCTCCCTTCTGCTCTTGAAATATCTATGTCCAATAAGTAAGATGGGTCTTCTGGTAGTGAACACCGTTTTGCTATTTGAAGGCTAGAAAACTGTTCCTTGATCTTCTCCATGGCAACTGACATTAGAGCTGCATCCAGGAAAGTAAAGGTCTGCAATAAATAAAGATAAAGATAATTATCCTTCCTTTAATGCTTTATACATGAATAGACAATTTCTCTAAATCTGAGGGCCATTCATTACTGAGTGCATAAGAATTCAGAGGACTATCAGCGTCCCATAAAAGTTTGGCATTATAAAGCAAAGCATGGCATGGTCTTCCACATCCCAGCACCTGTCAGACATGCTACCCATCTCATTTGGATAGCACAGGGTTGTAAACAACTATCACAACAGATAGACAGTCAACTCTGAAGCTGGCCTGACTGGGGCCAGATATTGATATATATGCATGTACATGTGTATGGTAGTGATTACGATGCTCAACAAGGGGAGAGTGGGGAAAATCAGACTGTAGTCCTCCCTGAGGCAGAAAAGCTGTCTTTATGACTTTGGCCAAATACTTTCTCAGCCCTAGATTGAGAAGTTGAATAAAAAAATCCAACTTCCAGCCCAGACTAGTGTGGTATAGTCCAATCCAAATCTATACATCCTACAATGTGGCTAATATTAATTACCACACAAAAACTGCAATAAAAATAGGACTAGTCAAATTTGTGACACTTCCCATTTATCCAATGAATGAAATCTTTATCACAGCCTGACTTAAATTGGGTGGAACTTTTAGAAACCAAATAAAATATCTTCAAAATCAGATATGGCCCATGGACCTTAAATTGCTAGGCCACAGGTTATATTTGTAGCTCAACTTCTGCAAAGCAATTTAACTGAAATAATGAACAAGTATATTTATAATTGTGAAACTGAATACAATCAGTATTAGCTGTCATATGACATATCATTGTCCACTGACAGGGAGATGAAAAAATAGTTTTGACCAGGCCTTGAGAACTCAAGAAGAAAATATGAGAAATCTTCCATCAACACTGCACAGTCACACGAAAAAATGATGACCTTACTAATTATCGATGTATATGTTACTTTTCTCCCTTGACACATAGAGTGTTTCATTCACACTGTAGGAAACCTCCAGGAATGCCAAACTTCTTCCTCCATTACTTAACACTTCTGCCCTTTTACGTTTTCAGATGTAAGACAGACATGTACTTTAATCAGGCATGAAGTTTCTCAATGTCTGTGTGACACTGAGCCTGATTTTTTTTGTCAAGAGGGGGACTTTTAATCTTGCAACCATTGCATCATCCCAAGTCCATCAAGGCAAATCCCCCTGCCACAGAACGATGCCATCCACCCCCTTCTCAACACCACCAGCAGGCAGGAAAACCATCTGCTATTCTTCACAGCAGTGCTATGACGGGCAATGATTTTGACAGATGACTAAGTCTTTACAGTAAGCTATCCATCAGGATTCACTCCCCATTCGTTTTCTATCTCTCCCAGCCAGAAATCAGCTGCCTAGGCTAACAGAACTGGTGGGCAAAAGGCACAAGAGGATTCTTTACCCCCTAGGTCTCTGAGCCGATTTCCTGCTTAGTGATCTGCGTTGGCCTGAATAGGTGGCAGCCCAAACAATAGCAATAGCAATAGCAGTTAGACTTATATACCGCTTCATAGGGCTTTCAGCCCTCTCTAAGCGGTTTACAGAGTCAGCATATCGCCCCCACAGTCTGGGTCCTCATTTCACCCACCTCGGAAGGATGGAAGGCTGAGTCAACCTTGAGCCAGTGAGATTAGAACCGCTGAACTGCATCTAACAGTCAGCTGAAGTGGCTGCAGTACTGCACTCTAACCACTGCGCCACCTCGGCTCTTGACAATGACTGACAAGATAGGAGGACAAGCGCAGATCAGTCTCTCCGGCTTCACAAGATTATTGCAACTTACCTACAAATTGCTTCGGAACACAGGCTAGTGCTCTTCTGTTAAGCAGCCAAAATAGCAGCTAAGGGTGTGCTCTGTGAAGCGGCTTCACCATACAACCTCAGCACCACCATAAGTACAGCTGGCCATTGCTGTGATATTATGGGAGTAGGGGGGATTTGGCTTGAAAGAACTGAACTGCTACTAAAAGCAGATTGGCCTTAAGGAACAATGCTCAGGGATTAGAGGAAAAGGGTATGCCCATAGAGGCCTAAGGTTGCCAATAAATGGCAGATTGTTCTTGCTACCTACTGACAGTTGGTCAATGAAAGCTTGTATCCCTAGCAAAACTATCACAGCTTCAGGGAGAAAACACTACTTGGACATTGTTAGAGCTAATCATTGTAGACCAGTGTTTATTAAACTGTGGTCTAAGGCAGTGTTTTTCAACCACTGTGCCGTGGCACACTAGTGTGCCGTGGCATAGTGTAAGGTGTGCCGTGGGAAAAACACCTGCCTATAGTCAATATAGGCACAGAGTTAAATTTTTTTAACATTTGCTAATGGTGGTGTGCCTCGTGATTTTTTTCATGAAAAAAGTGTGCCTTTGCACAAAAAAGGTTGAAAAACACTGGTCTAAGGAACCCTGTTGGGGGGGGGGGGTGCTGTCCAAAGCCCTTTTCAGGGGTCCATAAAAGCAAAATTCTTTGCCAGATATTGAACACATTTGCAAACAATTGAAACAACAGTACTCTTTGTTATTTTTTATTTGTTAAAAAACATACAGGTTTTTCATGAAAAACGTTTTTGTTAATATCTAATAGGCTCAATGTTTTTACACGAGTCAATAAATAAATATACCACAAATGCATCTATTTTATTTTTTAATACAGTAAACGATCTATCAGGCAATTTGGCAAAACCACATGACTGTCTACCACCTGTTCAAGAATAAGCTTGGCCTGAATGGAAATAGCTAAATAGACTGTACACCAGGATAGGAAGATCAAAGGGCAATCTAAGAAAATGGAGCTTCCCCATGGAGGACAATTGATGTGAATGTGGAGAACAACAATCCATCTCACATATAGCTCGGTGCATATGATGACTTTCGACTTGTACTGAGGAAGACCTCATGCTGACAAGAAAAAATGCTGTCAGTGTGGCCAAAAATAGTTATTTTACCTGCTCAGTGTTGAACATTGTATGTCTCTAATTTGAAGGTATTTCAGATACAGAAAGATCAGTTCAGATAAAATAAAAAGTAACCTGAGAAGGGCAAATGAAAGAGGTTGTTGGAGCATGTGCATGCCATACTTAAGAGAAATTGGGACACATCCACACACAGCTGGGTTGCGAGCCATCAATTTATTGATTTTTAACACAAAGCTAAGATTTGTTCTTCACTGTTGTCAAACAAAGAGCTTAAGAAATACTCTCATGTCAGAATCCAGAGGACCCTGAATTATTCAAATATAGATCTACACCCTCCAAAAATCTAATCTGTTTGTAATAAGTTTTTTTAATCTGCATACATGTACATATCTTTGCACATATGAAGATGACAAAGTGGCCTAATCGTTCTCAAAATATATGCAACCTTGTGAAAAATATTATTCAAGCCAACTTAGTATTTCAATATTGTTACTGAGATCCTTCATTGACAATTCAACTTGGATATTATTATTTTTGCTTTGGAAAGAGAAAAGAAAATGATGCAAATGTTTGAAGCTGCTCTGTTATTAATATGAGCAATTCAGGAGGCCGCATCTACAGCAATTAAGTAGCAGGATAATTAAGATTGTCCTGCTCACTCATTTGTTTGACTTTTCTTTTCGAAGCATATATATGCTCGCTCAGCCTAACTAGAACACAATTCCAGAAATAAACACAAAAACAGAAGAAAAAGCTATCTCCAAATTACAAATAACCCTAATCAATGACTTCTTAAGTAAAGTTTGGTCTATTACTTAAGGCCTCAAACTAGAAACCATGAGATCATGAAATCCGGCTGGGTGACTTTAAGCCAATCACTCTCTCAGCCCACTTCACCTCAAACGGTTGTGGTTATGGGAAATAGTAGGAGGAAGGAATATTAAGCATCTTCGCTACCTGAATTACTTATAAATAATAAAAGTGGGATTTTAAAAATCTAATAAAGTCCCATCACAAGGCTGTCCACAAAGTTAGTTTTCTACATCCCAGGAATTCTGCACAGCACAATTACAAGGGTTTGGGACTTTTTTTTTAGAAGCAATTCTACTGAAAATCCCTCTTGTCATACTGGCCAACAAGGCTAAACTGACCTCAGCCTAACCATCCTAAATCTTCATCGGGCAAAAGGATCACAAAACACTGCCCAGCTCCTAAATCCTATTCATAATCCTGAGTGCTTCAAAAGTGCTGCTGCTTCTGTTATCCTTCAAAAGGAACAGATGTACACCAGTGATGGGATTCAAAATTTTTTACTACCTGTTCTGTGGGCGTGGCTTGGGGAGGGTATGGTGTGGCAGGGGAAGGATACTGTAAAACCTCCATTCCCACCCCACTCCAGGAGAAGGCTATTGCAAAATTTCCCACCCCACTCTAGGGCCTATCAGAGGTGGTATTTACCGGTTCTCCAAACTACTCAAAATTTCTGCTACCAGTTCTCTAGAACTGGTCAGAACCCGCTGAATACCACCTCTGATGCGCACACACATATGCACATACCCCAAAATAGAATAGAATAGAACTCTATTGGCCATGTGTGATTGGACACACAACGAGTTTGTCTTTGGTGCATATACTCTCAGTGTACATAAAAAGACAAGATACATTCATCAAAAATCATAAGGTGCAACACTTAATGATAGTCATCGGGCACACTCTCTTGCAAATTTAGCATTTGCTGTACAAGGCACTTTTGTTAAACCTTAATAGATAGTTAAGAACCCTCATTAGGTAATTTAATTTCTCTCATGGACTACATTTTGCTTTGAACTATAAAGCGGTTTATAGAAAAATAACCCAAACCAAGCATTTTGAAACCCTTTCATTTCAAAACCAAAGAGTGGTTTGCTCTTTAGATGGCTCAAACCAGTATCACTGACACATAATTCTCAATGTATTTTTCCCTTCATAAGTTGTATGGAGAACAAGTCATCATTTCTTCCCTAGAATTCCAGCACGCGTGGCCTGGTTCCTTACCTCCCCACCCTTTAGCTTGCCAGAGAGAAAATTCCAAAACCAGAGTTGATCAGGAGAAGGAAAAACACTGAAGAAGTTTTACACAGAAAAATGAATGTTCCAGTAAAGCCTTTTCTGTAATTGTCCCCCTCCACACACTACAGCAATTGTAGATTTGTCCTTAGTTGCCAAATGATTTCTGCCTGTACTAGCTTAGTCGTGAGGACATTTTCCTCCTTAGGAATTTGAGGGGGCTGTCCCCAAAGAACACCAATATGCCATCCAAATAAATGGGGTATACATTTCTGGGGTTTGCTTTCTCAACAGAACTTCCTGCATCAAAGCGTGAAATGGATACTGGTAGTCCTCTACTTATAACAGTTCATTTAGTGACTATTCAAAATTACAACGGAACAGGAAAAAAGTGACCGGACCATTTTTCAGAGTTACAATCTTGGCAACATCCCCATGAACATGTGATCAAAACTCAGGTGTGTGGCAACTGGTTCATACTTACGACCATTGCTGTGTCCCAAGGTCACAGGATCACCTTTTGCAACCTTCTGACAAAGTCAATGGGAAACCCAGATTCACTTAACAACCAGGTCACTAACTTAACAACCACAGTGACTCACTTAACAACTATGGCAAGAAAGGTTGTAAAATAAGGCAAAACTCAACAAATGTTTCACTTATCAACAGAAATGTTGGGCTCAATTGTGGTCGTAAATTGAGGACTACCTATCTAGGATACTCGGGAGAAACCAAATATTGGGCAGGGTAACACACTCAACCCACTTACCATAGATTTCCTGATTATTGCCTCAAGTATTCTGTACTATAATTCCAGGCCTGCCTACATATTGGCTGCTGTGGCTGGGATTGATGGAACTATACTCCCAAACACCCGAAAGGCTCAAAGTGAAAAAGGATGTAAGCTACATGACAGCTGAGTAATGAAAGTCTGGGGTTTGACTCTCAATAGTTTTAAGCAAGATGCTCTCTTCGCCTCAGCCCCCGTAACTGCAATATGATGAATCGTACGTTGCAAGGCATTCTGTGAAGCATGTTGTAATTTTTGGTAAAGAGATCAATTAGTGCATAAAGTATTAATCACTTGAATGTAATGGGGAGGTGCTTAGCAGAGAAATATGCTTTTTAAATATCAGCACTAACTGAGGAACACTTTTTATTGTAAGATATGTTTTCTAGATCAACAAAGTGCTTGTTGGAAACTGAAGGAACAATATTGACTTTTATGTTCAAATTAAACTTGCTTCCTGCTTCAGAACAAATTAGACTCCAGTGCTCACAATTTAAACCAAAAGACCTAACAACATGTTCATTCCTACTGACATTCCTCTACAATGAATCCATGGGTGACTGAAATTCATTGCTTCATTTTGAAATCGCCCAATTGCAAAGAGGAAAAGAATAGAGGACATATCCTGGAGACCTGGTGCCATCAGCTTCCCCAAAATAGTGAATGCTTTTAGGTTCCCATACAAATTGTTCAAGCTTTGGGCAAGACAGTCTCACATTAAATTCACTTGTTGGAAATGTTACTGTGACTTACAAGATTTCAAAATACA